AGTGGGTGTGTGGCACGTGTACGCACGAATAGTTTAAGTTGTAGGTAGCTGCCCAGCTGCACTAGCTGCATCTCCTCGCGCGTTCCAGAATCTCGCTGCTTCTTTGGCCACTTTCCTTGTACTGTCTGTGCGCGGGGCTTGCCGCCAGCACAGTGCCTACGCGGGAGGGGGCCGTTTTCTGACATGCCCACTGGTAAATTTTCGTACTGGTCGAGGGATTCTCTTCAAGGCATGTTATTATGGATTCAAAAATATCAGATGCGATGTCGGAAGTTTCTGTAATATGTTCAAAAAGTGTGGTTTTTCTTCTTACATGCCTCAAAAATATGCGTTCTGGAAACTTTGTCGGAGGGCATGTCAGAAAAGGAGGTGGGTGTACAAAATTTTTTTTTTATCAGGCCCATCTTATCAATCAGCACCATCAAAAGCCTACATAGGAGGTCGACATCACCTGCGCCAGACCCCACGCATTCCGCGACGCCCCTTTTGAGTAAAGAGAATTTACCTCTTATGCCTCCTCCTAGGTACAGGCAATTACAACTTCACTCAGCTAATTGCGTCACTTACGGTAGTTTTCATCGTTGCCGCCGGTCTCATGATCGGATGGTGGCGCAGTCTTTGCTGCAGCTGGACTCGATTTCGGCCACATCAACAGAAGGTCACTAATAGGCTCTGGCTGATTAATTCTTTCTTCATTTCGTCTTTCTCCACTGCCGAAGGGACTCTTCGTTCCCATTTCGCAAAACAGCCTAGCGCTGCAGCTTTGTGTGGCCCCGTTGCCCATCCTCCAGCTTTGTTGGGGACTTCGTACCGGCTCCCTGGGCTATGGTCCCGATTGATTAGATCTTTCTGCACATATATGGATCCATGTCATATACCATGTCCCCTTTAAGGAAATTACCCAGGTTGTCCAGCGATAGTGCATTTCAATGGAGTCACGCTGTCAGGTACGCGCTGCGCCGCGTCTCGAATGCCAGGGCCGTTTTGAAAGCGTCCACTAATCTGCTCCCTGGTCTGTTTACTCTTTTCTCGGGACCAATCCATCCGTCAATTGCTTGATCACCCACTTCTAAATTCGAGAGCGTCATGATGGCTGACGATGGACCTTGCGCTGTATTCCAACATTACCGTCCCCAGGTGCCAGAGAGAAAACCATCGTCTCCGCTCTCACGTCGAGAAAGTCTCGCATTAGGCTTCCAGGCATCTATAAAGTTGTATTAGGGCATGGACTGTTTGTGTTCATCTCGGTGACTAGCATCTCAATTGTTTGGTCAATCAACTCAGTGCAGTGGCAAGCATCGGCGTGGTGTTGTTCCAACGTGGGACGTTCGAGATAGCTGTATATGGTATTATTCACCGTTTATAGTTCTAGTTGTAACAAATCAGAACAGTGATTTGTTATTTTTTTTATCCATACAATGTTCTGTTTTCCTGTTTTCCTGTTTCTTGGCTGCTTACCTCCATGCCAACAAAGGCATCCCAAAGTCTGCCAAGCGTCGTGAGATACTAAATCGGGCACCAGCCAGTGTGGTTGCGAGCCACAAAGGACGAACTGCAAGGCAAAGGCAAACAAAAGCACCGACCACACACAGACACACTCGGATCCAGCGATAATATTGCGAGTACAGCAGCCGGCTGACATCCAAAGTTACAGATCTTTTCTTCTTGTAATCTGTGCGCAACAACGTCATGAACTCGACTTCGAGACTTTGGCGACGCATTTTGCTTCGCGAAACCCCCTCCCCGCTACATCATGTCGGTACGCAATCCCTCCCGAATCTCTTTGTACTGTTTCCCCTGCTTTCGATGTCCGGTAGCAGCAATCTTGATCTTTCCGAAAAACCTCGACAATGGAGTTGCAGCGTGTCTCTCAAATACCCAGGCAACTCCCAGATACAGGAGACCCAGGCCTACCAAGAATAGTCTATATTCCCATGACATTTTCGTGAGCTCCATCAGTTTGTTCAGCCATGTGGAGGATCCAGCTATCATGAACAGTGTTATGGCAAGTGTCAGCAAAACTGTGGCGATGAAGGGCCCTGTACAACGTTAGCCTCTGCTGCCTCAACGCCTCACGTGCAATACGTACAGTTGTTGGCAGTGCGTTCTCTAAAGGGAGGGCCTGCATTTAGAATCACTCCAGAAAACACATATTCAAAACAAGATGTTAAAAATAGTGCTGTGTTCTCTGAGTTTTTGATATCCGACTCATCGTGGCCAACTACCGGAGGAATGTACCAAGTCTGCTCCCGAACGGTGATGTATGCAATGGCCTGCACCACAATGCAGATTGCCATGAGGCCGAGTAGCGGTATCAGCACTTTTCGGGAAACAAGTCCGGATATGGGCCGCTTCTTGTAGAGCGTCCGAGCCGGACCTGCCCAGCCCATAAATATGGCAATAGGAAGAATCAGGAGCAAGTCAATGAACAGAAATTGAAAATCCCCCAGATTTGAAGCTTTAGCGTACAAAAAGCTCACAGAAGTGAATTGTATCGCAGAGTACAGGCTCATGTACTTGAAGCAGCTAAAACTGGTGACAAGCGCAGCGCGACCTTCCCTGGAGTGAGTTAGATTTAACACTTACCAAGTGCACGCATGCATACATACCTGATCACTTCTAACACACAGCGAATATCAAATACTCTGGATGTAAACGGAGCTGCGACTGATGCTTCTGCTTCTGACAAGGATATTCCAACATCCGCCGCCTTCAAGGCGCCGCAGTCATTAGCACCGTCGCCACAAAACCCGCAGGTATAGTCTATGCTTTGAAGTTTTTCCACGAGCTCGTGTTTCTCGTCCGGTGACATTCGAGCAAAGACGCCTCCAAGAACAAGCATCTAGGCAGGTCAGCTACTGGTCTCTCTCGATACATTCTCAAAGCAAATATCATACTCGACGGAGCACCAATGGGTGCGCATAATCCACGACCCAACGAAACACATCACCGCTGACGGCTAGAGAGTAATCCCGGAGATTAGATATGTCATAAGGCAGAGAGAGATCGGCTTCAGGAAGTACGGGCTTGGGCTACATAAATAGTCAGTCGTCATGTTGAATATTGCGAAGATGTCGATGGTAACAAACTAGTAAGGTTGAAGTATCAAGTGAGTATGCACTGCCATCAATACTTTCCCACTGTAATTTGGCAGTCGGATCCTGAAAGTCACCTCGAATGCAGTCAGCATCAACCATAAAAACTTCGTGGGTTCAGAAGTCACATACCTTCGACAAAGCGAGGCACAAAGCAATGGGCATGTTTCCCCAACAGGCCGCATTCTCTTGCAACGCTGATGGCTGTCAAAATGTTATCACCAGTAACCATGACCGCTCTTATATTGGACTCGATCAGTTCTTTCACCACCGGAGCCGTGCTTGGCTTCAGTTTGTTCTCGAATATGATGAATCCGACAAAGCGCAGATCGCTTTCTACGTCTTCTCGAGACATCTTCTGAACTTTGATCCAGCTGAGCTTTCGAAGATGACGCGTGGCGCATCCAATTACACGATAGCCCTTGTGCGTATAATGCGACAATAATTCTTCATAATTGACCGGGACTTTCGGGATCTGTTTAGCGGTGGAGGCTTCGTCAGGAGCGGCGATATATACTCACAGCTCTCAGGGTCACAGATCTCCCGCATCGCCTCTGGTGCTCCTTTAACGAATATGTCGCCACTCTTTTTGCCAAATTGGCGCACAACTACACTGGCTCGACGCAACTGCGAGACAAATTCGAAGGATTTGAGAACTCCGAGTTCGAATTGGCCCTGGTGATGTTAGATAAGCCTTCTCGTCGAGTGACTTTGGACATACGTCTGGCGGCTTGGCTATGGATGGAGCAAGGCCGCTCTCATCATCTTCCCCATCGCCGGTAGATTGCCTTCCTTCCTCAAAAGACCAATTGGTGAATTCGAACATTTTCAAGTCTAACGGATCACCGACAAGCTCCTCGTCGACCGAACGTAACGAATGACATGTTGCCATGGTATACATTGCTGCCTGTATCGGACTAGGGTGCATTTCTGCCGTAGCAGACATGGACCCGAAAGAGCTAGATTCCCTTAAGACATCGCCGAATGCACCTGTTTCTTCCGAAACAACTCGTACACCAAGAACATCGAGACCGTCTTCCGTAAGCGTTCCTGTTTTATCGAAGCACATGATATCAAGCTTTCCCCCTACATTGACTCGCTGAGGGCTGATGCAGAAAATCTGCTTTCCCTTGAGCCGGGATAGTGCAAAGTTTGTGCCAATGGTCAGCGTCGCTGGCAGTGCGGGGGGGACAACGATTGTGATAAGATCCAGCGCTCTAACGATGATCAAATGCCATGCCAATTTCAGATGCACAAAGTTGACAAATGAGGCGGTGAAGCCGATCAAGGCGATTCCCGCCATCACACTTATGTATCGGAACGAGTCGCGATAGAATTTGAAACCGGAGGGCTTGGGGAAAAGCATCGAGCGTACGAGTGCGCCTTTCGTTGTATTGAAACCTGTTCGAACCACCAATGCGAGAGCGACAGCATCGCCGTCCATGTCTTCTTGGGGTCGTCGAGCGCGTACAATCTTGGTACCGCAATACAGAAAATGCCGTGCTGTCTCCGGCGAAACAGATGACGCAGACAGATTCATTTCACGTAAAGTCTTGTCGACGGCGGGCAGCTTTGAGACGGGCACCGATTCACCTTTGCCCACGATTAGTGCATAGGCAAATACCAATGAGACTTCATCTTACCTGTAAGCATGCTCTCGTTGACAATACAATCGCCACTAAGAAGCAAACTATCGCTGGGAAACTGGGAGAGATTCGGATCGCTGAGTTCATACACGTCGCCAGGCACTAAATCACTTGATGTCACATATTTCCCTGGCGGAAAGTTAGCAGGACTAGGCACACTGATGTATAGAATCAAATAAAATCATACAGAAACCGTTACGCAATACACGAACATCGCATTCAAATCGCGATATCTCTTTAAGTCTCCGCATCGTCTTTGGCCAAAATTAGAAGTGATCTCAACATGCCAAACCCGATAGTGAAACTTACTGCTCTGGTTTCCAAGAGTGTGGCCGCTATGCTTCCGACTGACATAACAAAAATGCATGCAGCGTAATAGTAATACGAGTCCATGGACCAAAGGACTAGGCTGGCGATCTGAAAGATGTAAAATGGATGTAGGACCTGTGCCTGTCAACGCCTACCCTAAGTTGCTAGGGAGAAAGTCAGTTCCTTTCAGGGGCATAGACTTACTTCATCAACAAGGAGCTGACTGACAGACTTCTGCTCAATATCGATGAGATTAGAACCAAAAATTTGCTCTCGCATGGTCTTTTCATCGCCGTCCAGTCCCGACCTCACTAGGCGGACATCAGTCCAATCCGGATCCTTCCAGCCAGTCGACAAGATGAACCTGTCCTTGACTGGGTGATAAAAGAACCGGACATAGCGATACTCTATCGTTCGCAAATCATCAAGTAGAGGGTCATTCTCATCGTCCAAGCCGTAGGAAAGGAGCTTCTCAGATGCGCCGAACACCGAGGACAGGGGTCGTCCATAATTCTGCGATTTGACATGGAGAATTGCAAGTTCCCCCCATTGGTTCTCGATAACTACCCAGTCACAGCTTTGAAGCGTCGTGGCTCGTCCAAGAATGGCAACATACCGACGAGGAAGCCATCGCAGAACAAGGAAAGCAATGCCACCGGTCATCACGCACAGCAAAATGTACGCAGATAAGCCCCAATAACTTGTTGAGAAACCTGCGATCGCAATGGTGAGGTCTTCATTGGCCATGTAAACTTTTTGACTGTTTCTTCCGCTTTGCCGAGCACTTCCTGCTGTAGCCGCACTGTCCGTTCTCAGCAAGCGCGTGTGAACTGACAACCGCGAGTGTGTAGACGAGCGTCGCCGCATGAGATAATCATCATCAGAGGCAATATAGTGGCGATCAGCAGAGTCTTCATCGTCCACGATAGCAAGGTCCAGATCGTCAAGATCACTACCAATGCTTCGTCTTCGGAAGTATTGAACCTGATCGTCAACATGACTGATCTCGTCAGAATTCTGCGAGTAAGCGTCTTCATTAGGCTGTTCCTCGTAGTACGTAAAGCTGGCAGTCGAATTTGCGCGGTGGCGGCGATGTGAGAAGGCTGAGACGCTTGTGGGTAAGCTTTCGGCAACTGGTCCGGAGTACAACTACAATAAAGATCAGTATGTGAGCCTCAGCGAGGAGTCATGGAGTGCTACTTCTTCGTGTGCCATTTCTACCTCCTCAAAGATGCTTGACATGCTTTGGTTGGAGTTGAGCCTATATAGTGTTGGTTGTGAGGCTCGCGCCTCCTCGTCCTGTGGGTGGTGGTCGTTCATGATGTTGGCTACTGAAGTGCAGATATCATTTTTGGCCGGGAATGTACCACCTGCTGTTGCAATACCTAGATACAGTGTTATCTTTGCCCGTTCTAACTGAAGCTGCAATGATTGGTTTGATGCAAGTTCTGCAGGCGTTGCTGAACTGGATAGGCTTGATCTGGAAAATGAATTGCGCTGCCTACGAAGCTTGGCTCCCGGGTTTGCGAATTCAGCTGGCAGGGCGCTGATGTGGGGCTATTTCACAAGGCTTGTCGCTTCAGTACCTGGCCACGGATGGAGAAGAGACACTAAGGTATTATTCCATACGTGGACCGCCGGGTGACAACTGATAGTTGACTGGTAACACAGTGCTTCATAATTATCATGACCGTCAAGCAACCAAGAATTATTCAGTACAAAGGCACTGAGAGTTGTAAGGGGCTACACACACTACCTACCTAACTATTCAGAAATCAACGACTAGGCGCTATTTAGCCAACCCGTAGCCGGGGCGGTGTAGGCATTGGAACCTAGGTACGTCATGCTGTAACGTCCCTAACTAGGTAGGCCAAGTATCTCGAGCAACACAGATGCGTCAACCACTGAAATAGTATCTAGTTGGCTGTCAGTGTGATTCGGTAGATAAATAGGTACTGGAAGGTTTTCAAGTCGTAAATACCTATCAACGAGTCCTGCAGAGACTAAGATGGGGCAACTCATCGGCTAAATCAGGATGTTGTTCTGCCCTGGCAAAGAGCTGACAAGAATAAAGAATAAAGGGACGGCCATTATATAGTTAGCAGACATAGAGCATTTCGGGAAGTTAAAGGAAAGGACATTACAAGAGATCGTATTCTATTTGTATGTCTCTGGAGCTTGCCTACCTACCTACAAACGTTTAGCTGCTAGCAGGTACCCAACAAGGTACTAAACTGGTGAGTAAAACCAGGGGTAGCCTCACATCCCTTAGGCTGTAAAGGAGGTACTTGGTAGGTACCTGCCTATCTACCTAGGTAGGTACTAAGGCAATAAAGTAACCAGGAGCTCTCACCCATCCCAACAACCCACGCCGGTCGACGCCAACCAGCCCTTGGAAATTTTTCCACTCCAACGCAACGCGGTCTCCCCCTCTCCCCCCACCAAAAATTCACAACCCCAGTCGCTTGGGGCACCTAACTTTCTGCATCCATTACCACCAACCCTCTTCTTTCTTCCTTCTCTCATACTCGTCACCAATAGTAGTAGCTTTCAACGGCCCAGCAGTCACTTCGCTTCTTCTGCTACAATGGCCGAACCTATCCCAGGCAAACGAACTGACCAGATGACGGCTCCGTAAGTCGTCGTGATGTGAAGGTATCCCTACCAATGCTGACCAACCCCACTTCAGTACGCCTCAGAACACTCCCGCGACGAACGCGCCCATCTCTTCCAGAGCCCAGCAGCCCGGCGTGGCAAGCATCATGGAGGGTCAGTTTCCAAAGATGAGCAATGTATCTCACATGACTAATGGAAACCCCTGTTACAGATGACATGGAGCGCGCAGCTGCCGCCTCCATCTTCGCCCAGAACCCCCAGCTCGTCCAGATGATCCAAGGTCGTCTTGGCTCCCTTATCGGTCGCTCATCTGGATATATCGAGTCTCTGCCACCTACCGTTCGCCGCAGAGTTTCCGGCCTCCGAGCTATCCAGAAGGACCATGCCAAACTCGAGGCTGAATTTCAGGAGGAGGTTCTTCAACTCGAGAAGAAGTACTTTGCCAAATTTACCCCTCTCTATGAGAAGCGCTCTGCCATCGTCAACGGCCAAGCTGAACCCACTGAGGACGAGATCAAGGCCGGAGAAGACGAGAACTTCGAGGTTCAGCCGAAGACCACCGAGACTGATGAGGAGGGCATCAAACTCGACATTCCCGAGAATGTCGCCGGAATTCCTGAGTTCTGGCTTTCCGCCATGAAGAACCAGGTAACTTTTGCTGAGATTATCACGGACCGAGATGAAGCTGCTCTCAAACACTTGACCGATATTCGAATGGAATACTTGCAGGAGCCGGGTTTTAGATTGATTTTCGAATTTTCCTCGAACGAGTTCTTCTCCAATAAAACGCTCACGAAGACGTACTTCTACCAAAACGAAAGCGGCTACGGCGGTGATTTCATCTATGATCACGCCGAAGGCGACAAGATTGACTGGCTTCCTGGCAAGGACCTTACCGTCCGCGTCGAAGCCAAGAAACAGAGGAATAAGAGTAAGGCTCACACCGCCGTCAGCCAATGCCCACGTGCCTTGAGAACGAAATTTGGCTAATCTTGAAATCTGATAGACACCAAGCAAACGCGTATCGTTAAGAAGACCGTTCCCACCGAGTCCTTCTTCAACTTCTTTTCCCCTCCGAAGCCCCCGAGCGATGATGAGGATGAGGAGGATGAGGACGCAGCCACCGAAATCGAGGAGCGTCTCGAATTAGACTATCATCTTGGCGAGGACATCAAAGAAAAGCTCATTCCCCGCGCCGTTGACTGGTTCACGGGAGAGGCCCTTCGCTATGAGGAAATTGATGACGGCGACATGGAGGAACCAGACTTTGATGACGAAGAGGATGAAGACGAGGATGATCTTAGCGATGATCAGGATGAAGAAGAGGAGACAGATGACGATGTAAGTGATGTCAATAAGCTGACCATCACCATTTCAATTACTAATTTGTTAGGACGAGTCTGGAAAGCCCAAGCAAGAAGCCGCTGAGTGCAAGCAGAGCTAAGCGAGCAACATTGGGCGGTGATTGCCAGATCCTGTAGAAGTAGGACGGTTATCCTGTGATTATTCTCATGTGCGAAATCGAAGACTCTTTTCACGTACTGTCTTGACTCGGTGGGGGGAAAGGAATTGCAACGTACAATGGATACATGGCTTTCTATCTGTTTCTTGGTGGGAGACACGACAACTCCGGCAGTATGACACTATCTCTTCTAGTTGAACAATTAACTAATCGAACTTATGAATGTCTTTGTCTCTCCAGCACAGTGTAGAATGGATAGACAAGAGTTCTCTTGCAGAATAATCAGCTTTTCCGTTGGCAGGCTGAAGGGTGAAAACGCTAATTCCAGAATTGGCCTAGTTGGTAGCTAGGTAGTTGTGCGGCGTGCCTGTGCCTGCAGGTCAGCGGCGCCAACTCTTTGCTGATAATGTACGGATAAATAGAGAGGGGAAGAAGCTTTGAGTAACCTTGGAATTTACGGCCTTACAAGCGAGCGCACAGAATTGCTCAGGCGAGGAGATGCACCACCAACTTACTATGGTACCTAATATTTGGTCGGATATTAATGAGTGCATCTAGCCCCCAGCAACCTAATGATTAGGTAAATAGATACGTACCGACCCCCGGCGGGGGGGTTCTAACATGCCCTCTAATATATTTTACTATCTAGCATGTTTTTTAGTATTATAAGGAAATTACACTTTCTAGTATATTAAAAAAATTCCTAATATCCTATCTAAGACCTAGGTATCTACCGATATAGAAAAGGGGTATTTTCTAATATACCCTCTAATAGATTTTCATAGGTAAAATATAGTTAAAGTATATTACTATAGATTAAGGCTTCTTAAATAGGATATTAAGAATATTTCTTATATACTTAAAAGTATAATTTCCTTATAATATACTTATTACGTCTATACTAGCGTCACCTATTATTATAACTAATAATATATATA